TAACTTCTCTGAATCTGTTTTCTTATGTGTCAACTGAGGAACTAGGACCCTTGCCTCATCGGATTGGGATAAAGTATATGCAGTCTTTGGTAGGTAGTGGGTGCTTAATAAAGGATCACTCTTCTTAGAATCAACCTGAAGAGGTGAAGCGACTTGTACAGGATCACAGCTCCCAAGAGGCAGAGTGAAAATTCAAGCTCAGGCCTTCTGCTTCCCAGAACCACATTCCTTCCCTTCAATTCCCCAGTAAGGGCGGCTCCCGACACCACCATTTTGTCTCCTTCCAGGGCGGGCGTCTGGCTGCCTGTCAGTCACCAGCTTCGGGAAGCCAAGTGCTGAGTAAACACAGGCCTGAGCAAGAGGGTGGAGCAGAGGGGCTCCGCTGGGGCGAGCCGGCTCCTTGCCCCCCTTCCCTACACCCCCACCTCCAGCGATGAGCTCAGAGCGGCTGGCACAGCAGTTGCTGACAATTCAAAACTTCTGTCCCCTCTCCTGGGATGCCAATGGGTGACTCTGAACAGCAGGCGTGACCGGCAGACTCACCAACCCTGCTCTCACCCCTCTCCTGGGCTTTGGAACTGGGTGTCTGCTCATAAACTGCCCCCAGGGACAGTAACCCACAGCAGCTGTGCTCAGAACAACCACTGCTTCTAGGGTAGGTCATTTTCTTAGGTCAGATGTAAACCCAACCCCCCCTTGGCCTTCCCTAGGCAGCAGAAGGGGAGTGCAACAGCCTAAATGTTTTATCGGATTCCACTGCAAGTCATTCTATTTAAGGTAAGTTGCTTGGGCCTGAGAAGCGGACAAGATGCCAGCCAGATGTTAGAAGAGAGCATCAGTATTCAGTCTGTGCTCCTCTCCTGCCTGACGCGAAGGGTGGCCAGCAGTTTGTCCACCCCTAACCCGCTTCCATCCTCAGCCAGCTGAGGGGGCCTGGGGATCTGGGTCTCCATGTCTCCCCACCTCTTCCAAAACCCAAATGGTTTCCCCCTCCTTCCCCAGCTCCTGCACCAGCCAGAACCACAGACTGCCTGGCCCTGAATCCGCCCACACAGGACCTCCCTCCTCTCAAGCCCTGGTCACCACTTGCTCCCTTTTAGCTTCTTCTCCCACCAAAAACAATACATCAGAAGTGACTGAGTGGCTAGAAAGACTTTATCAAATTGTTTAAAATGTTGGCATTTAAGTACTCATGTATATACAGAGAAGTTACATAGAACCTTAAGAACACAAGGGTATAAATGTGGTACTCACACAAGCATGGCACGGAATGAGACCAGGCTTGGAGCCATGGGGCTTTTTAAAAAGATGGGTGTGCTACTAAGGGCCTGAGAAGACGAAGGGAGAAAGAGGAAAGGCAACAGCCTCAGGGTCACTTTGGGGGCTCAGCTTAACCTTACTACTAAGCTCCCCAACTGAGATTGCTTTCCCATTCTCCACGGAAAGTGAGCCATTTTCAGATTGAATCCTCACTACATAAATGCCCACTCTCTAAAATCCTGATGTGACAAATTCACCCAAGAACCCACAGGAATATGTCCTTATAAATATATATCAGAGAAAACAAGGCACTTCGGAAGCATTATAGCTCACTCTCCTACAAGTATATCATTCTAGACAGAAAGTAAAAATTGGTTAGTTTCTCAAGTAAATTAACTGAATCAAGTTAATACAATAACAGAATTGTTCCCTGGCCTGACCATGGCAGGAGGCACAGAATGAGACACATCTCTGTATGATACCTGCTCTCAGGTCGGAGGGACTAGCAGAACTCAAAGTCTGATGTACCCCTCAGGAAGCCTGACATCTCTCATGAGCAAAAGCTCCTGGCTTTGGGGCACCGTCCCCCTCCCCAACCTAAGGTTAGCTGAGGGGGGTTGTGGCAGGAGACAGTCCGTCCGAGAACAGAGCTGGGACATGATGGGAATGCTAAGCAGGGTCGCCAAAGCCACAGAGACCTCAATCTGTCCAAGTCGGCACTGCAGAGCCGGAGGATCGGCGCCACGGGAAGAGATTTCACATTAGCCCTGACAACATCACCTCAGCTAGGTGGTGACATTGACCAGGGTTGTTTCTGAGGGTGCTTGAGCTTCCGTTGGAGGCAAGCTGGAGCTTGGGCCAGCTGCTCTGAGCCTCCAAGTGATGCTGAGCCTGTTCCCTCCCCCCTGGCTGATCCTTTGGAATGTACTCATCTCACGACCAAGACCAAGGCAAAGCCACAAGTCACTTCTGACACTGCCGATTGGATGTTGGGCCCTTAGGCCACAGGAATGGGGGCAGGTCCCCTGGGCTTGGTAGACCAGGAAGGGAAGTGGCACCTTGGCTTCATTTCTTAAGGGTCTTTCTGGGCCACTGTTTCATACTCTTACCAGTGTGGGCCCAGTTTAAATAATCACTAAACTTTGCATTCTACGATTACAGGATTCTAAAAACACAATTAGCTGCATTGAGTCCTTTCTTATCTTAAAGGGCTCTGGGTTTAAAGAGCATTAAAAAAAATTTTGGTGCACATATGCATAAGTAGAGCCCAGAGGGCCTCTGGGCTGACTGGGTCCCCAGCCCCCGAGCTGAGGAGGCTTCGTAAGGCCGCCTGCTACAAAGTGCAAAGCTTGGCTGCATGGATTTTAATGAGAGCGTCAGGCAGAGCTGTGCTGTTGCTCTCCGGGACTTGCAGATCATTACCAAACCAGCTGTAGGATGAGAACACAGCACATCGAAACCCTAGGAGGTCACTAAGCTAATGATCTAATCCTACCTTCCGCAGGCAGTGCCCCTCCCCACCTCCTCCTGCCCCCAACCCTTTCCACTGTGGACTCTGTCCATTTCAGACGCCAGGCCAACACCGGCCCCTTCAAGGTCAGTGTAGAATGACAAAACGGCACTGGCTCCCCATTTTCCAGAAAGAGGGGAGTGGGGGTAATTTAGTCAAAGCCATTAGGCCTAAACCCTGGTCTGGCCAGGCCCCAGGACTCCTATTTAGGAGAACTACTGCCCTCCGCCTGCCTTCTGACCACTGCTGGACTGCAGCTGGGGGGCACCTTCAACAGCCATCTTAAGGTTCTGGTGAAAGCCCTCTCAGCCTCCAAAATGCAGGATGGGAGGCATTCAGAGCCTGGTATGTCCAGCACTAGAGCTTGGTGCCAGCCCTGTGCAGAGATACCTATCTGAGGGAGGGGGACACATCTGGAAAGCCACAGCAGGAGGGCAGGCTGGCACCTACAGGCTCAGTCCCCACACCCAAGTTCAAGGAACAAAGGCAGAGGGGACGCTTTCAGCAGGGCACAGTGCAGTACCCGTGATTACGCACACTCTCCTCCAGCCGAAGGGGTTTATGAGGGCTTTGGCAATTACACCAACCATTTGCTGTGCTGGGTAGAGACAGATCCTGTTCTCTTTGTTTCAGGGCTCTGAAAGCTGAAGAAGCCAATTTCAGCCTAAGAGGCTCCACAACAGTTAGGACAGAAGAGAAAACCGCCTCTCTGTTGGCCAGAGCTGACCAGTTTATCTGAATAATAGCACCTGTGTATTCGCTCTGAGGGGAGGGGGGATGAGACACCACCCTGTGCAGTGTGGAGGGAGCTGAAACAAGGCCTGAGTCCTGCTGCCTTTCAGCCCTGTTCATAGCTGCCTGGACCCCTAGACAGGGCCCTATAGCCACTATCAACCTGAGGGACAGAAGTTTCTACAGATGGCAGAACCTTTGTTTAAATCAGGGAAATAAAGGGAAGAGCTGCAGAGGAATTGAAAACAGTCCTTATTCAAGCTGCCTTCCCCCTCTCCTCTTTCACTACCTCTGGTCCCCAGAATGGCAGCTCCCAAGGCCATGTGGTTGATTGGTGATAGGAAAGGGGTGGCCTTCTTGGGGTCTAATCAACAATGGCAGGACTGGCACAGGCTCTTAACCCTTCTGCTGGGACTACTACCTACGGTGAGGTTTGGAGTAGCATTGAGCCAAGATGGCTCTGCCCAGCCTCCAGTAGGTACCCACTATTTGGTCCCAGAAAGCACTGGTATCGTGGAATTGGGAACTCTTGGCTCTAGCTCTGTCACCATCCAACTCTATGACCTTGAGTAAGTCACTCCCATCTACAGGCCTCAACATCCTTAAGAGAGAGTGATGTGAGGCGTTCCATCGTCCTTCCAGTCCACAGTCCTGAGTCTCTAAGCTTTGCTCCTGACAGCCAGCAGAGGCCCAGATCCCTGTGTGTCAGGCTAGTTTGGTCATAGGTATCAGGGGTTAGAACTGGGCTGTGGTAACCTAAGGCACCTGGGCCTGAGGATGGGGCACATTCACCAAAAAGGGAAGCTGGGAGGGAGGCACTAAACAATCTCTGTAGAAAGGCATCATTTCTGGGCTGAGGGGGGGTGAGAATTTCTTTAGGGGTTTGATCCCTCCTGAGAGGAAGGGCATCTCAGGCAGAGAGATGGCTTGGAGAAAGTCAGCCCACCCTGCAGCTCAGGGCAGAAGTGCACACAGCCTGCTCTTCCCTCTCACTGTACAGGGGTAGAGCCAGCTGTGTGTGACCAGGCAGGACACTCGTGTTGCTTTAGCGAACAGAAGATGGCTGGCATTATTCAAAGCAGCTGAGGGCAAGGATTCTGGAAGAAAACCACTGTATGGAAATGGCCCCTAGGGGAAGGTACCATCTCTAACTTCAACCCAATCAAAGGGATCTGCTTTGGGGATTTTCCTTCCCTTGAAGGGAAGCGGAAAGAGCTACCCCAGGAGCCCTACGGACCTGACTATGGTGGGTAGTTACTGTTGTTAAGTGCCGTTGAGTCGGTTCTGACCCAAAGCAACCCATGGGGGGGGGGGGGTAAAGGGGTGGGGAGAGACAATGTTGACTTGGAGGAAGCACTTGGATATATCTTTGGTTGCTTCAGAGAAGGGTTTGGCCCCTTGAAATTCCTTTTTTCTTCCCATGATACTACTGGAGTAGACATCAACAAAGGCAGGTAGGAAAGAAAAGAAAAAGGAGGTGGGCAGCAGGCAGGAAGAGTTAATCTGACCAGTCGTCCTCATCAAACTCAGAGGAGTCATCCTCTGAGTCGCTGTACTCAACAGCAATGCGACGTGACAAGATGGTGGCCACATCGTTCCCCACGACATCCCGTTTCTCTTGCTCCCGCTGTTCCTCAACCCTGCGCAGCTGAAAGCCTGGTCGGAGAGAGAAGGAAGAAGGTTGAGAAGACTTTCCTCAGCCTCAAAATCCCTCCAGAGCTAAGTAAGGGGAGTGGCAACTGATGGGAGGAGTCCTGGCAAGGGCAGAGAAAAAAAATGACCTGCTGAGACGGCAAATAGGGAAAGGAGGAAAGATGAGGCTGCATGACAGTGGTGGCCTCAGTGTCCTAAGTGGATCCGAATGGAAGGCTGCCATTCCTCCTGGTTTTTACAGCCTCAGAGGCTAGTACTTTCTCGTGAGGCTTTGTGTGAGGAGTGGTCACCATACCCCATCTAGTAGGCAGCCTGCCCACCTGCTCAATGCCATTGATTATAAAGGAGCCTAACTAGTCGGTCTCCTCCCGACTAGTAGTTTCATGAGGATTACAAACAGAATCAACCACTGTAACCCTGTGGGACCAGACTTGGCCCTTGACAGAGAGTGAATAAATGTTCCATGAGTGAGAGGAGGAGGAAGAAAACAAAAGAGGGAAAAGCGGGCAAGAAGACACAGAAGGAAGGATATAAAAGGATAGGGGTGGTAGTCTAGTTCAAGAAGTACCCTCTAAGAATAGTGATGTAGTGATTCTTGATTTTTTTCTGGGGCAATGAACTTTTTGGAGAATCTGCTGAAAAAAATGAGGATCCTTCCCTAAGAAAAAAGTACACACACACACACACACACACACACACACACACACAGAACATACATTTTCAAAGAGTTCAAAGACCCTGAGTTAAGAATCTTTAAACCAATGTGGAACGGAATCTAAAGCTCTGTTGTTTTTTAGTGTTAAACCTTTCTTCAGGGTGATCTGAAATCTGAGGTCTAAATCTCTTTCTACCCAATGAAAGTTGTTTTCTGGGAAGGGCACAGAACGCCTCACCCACTCCTCTAATCAGTCATCCCAACTGCAGAAAGATATGCTCCAAGGTCCCAGACCCACCACAGGGATTTACCTTGACGGATAGCTGAAAGCAGGTCGCTGCGGGCATCGCTCACAGGAGGCAAAGAGGACTTGGGTTTGTTGAATTCAGAAGGTGGTGATGGCATGGTAGGTTGGCCATCTGCACCACTGAAAGGGGGAGGAGGGGGCCCTGGAGGAGGAGGAGGTGGGGGAGGGGGAGGTGCTCCTCCTGTAGGTTGGGACAAGGGAGGAGGTGGTAAAGTAGGGTAGTCAGCTGCTGGAGGTGGGGGAGGAGGTGGAGGCGCAGCAAAATCAGGGTGAGGTGGAAAAGATGGGGGTGAAGGTGGTGGTGGGGTCCCTGGAGTCCCAAATCCTACAGGTGGTGGTGGTGGTGGGACACCAATCATTGGGGGTGGAGGTGGAGGGGCAGGTGGTGGGGCAAACCCAGGTTTGGGGCCTGGTGGAGAACCCAAAGGAGGAGCTGGTGGTGGATGGCTTGGGCTGACCACACTGGTTCTTTTGGGTCCAGTCAAGCCAGACCCTCTTTGGTTGTCTGTTGAGTAGCTAAAAAAACAGAAAAAAAAAGACCCTCTATCATTCTCAGGAAGCAAACATCCACCAATACAGGCATGTTGTTGTTGTTAAGTCCAAGGAGCAGCTGGTGAGCCTGAACCGCCGACCTTGCGCTTCAAACCAACGCTGTAGTCCACCAACTCATTAACCCACAGTGCCACACCAGGACTCTCCTATATAGACATATCTCATTTTATTGTGCTTTCCCTTACTGTGTTTTGCAGACAATTGCATTTTTTGAAAGGTTGTGGTAATCCTGTGTCAGTAAGTCTTATTGTTGTTAGGTGCTGTTGAATCAGTACCTACTCATAATGACCTTATGCAAAACAGAATGGAACACTGCCTTGTCTTGTGCCAAACTCATAATCATTGATATGCTTGAGCCCACTGCTGCTGCTACTGTGCCAGTCCATCTCAATTGGAGGGACTTCTTTTTCACTGATTCTCCACTTTACCAGGCACTGATCCTCCTGATATGTCCGAAGTATGGGAGACAAAGTCTAGCCATCCTGGCTTCTAAAGAGTGTTCTGGCTGTACTTCTTCCAACTTAGATTTGTTCATTCTTTTGGCAGTCCATGGTACTTTTATATTCTCTTCCAACACCATAACTCAAATATATCAATTCTTCTGTGGTCTTCTTTATTCACTGTCCAACTTTCATATGCATATGAGGCTATGGAAAATACCATTGCTTGGGCCAGGCTCACCTTAGTCCTCTAACTGACATCTTTGCCTAATGCAATAATACAGCGTTTGATTTCTTGAATGTTGCTTCCCTTAGTGTTGATGGCCGATCGAGCAAAATAAAGGCTTTGACAACTTTAATCTTTACTCCATTTATTGTGGATGTTATTTATTGGTCCCATGATGAGGATTTTTGTTTTATTTACACAGAGAAGCAACACATACCGAAGGCTGTGGTCTTTGATCTTCAACAGTGATTATTTTAAGTCCTCTTCACTTTCATCAAGCAAGGCTGTTAACTTGAGTCTTCCTACGATCCTGATGCCACGTTCTTCTTCATGTAATTCAGCTTCTCAGATTATTTGCTCTGTGTAGATTTGATTAAGTATGGTGGTAGAATACAACCTTGGCACATACCTTTCCTGATTTTAAACCATTCAGTGTCCCCTTCTTTTGTTCAAACAACTGCCTCTTGGTCTCAGCACAATTAAGTGTTCCGGAATACTCTGCAGTTCCATTCTCCGCAGTGTTATCCATAGCTTGTCATAATCCACACAATCGAAAACATTTGCATGGTCAACAAAGCACAGGTAAGCATCTTTCTGGTACTCTCTGCTTTCAGCCAAGTACCATCTGATGTCAGCAACGATATCTCTCGTTCCATGTCCTTGTCTGAATCCTCTGGCAGCTTGAACTTCTGGCAGTTCCCTGTCAATGTACTGTTGCAGCTGTTTTTGAATTATCTTTAGCAACATTTGCATGTGATATTAATGATATTGTCCGATGATTTCTGCATTCCGTTGGGTCACCTCTCTTTGGAATGGGCACAAATATGGATCTCTTCCAATCAGTGTCCAGGTGGTGGTTGTTATGCGCCGTGGAGTCAGTTCTAACTCATAGTGACCCTGCATAGGGTTTCCGAGGCTGTAAATCTTTACAGGAGCAGAAAGCCTCATCTTTCTCCTGTGCAAGAGCTGTAGTTTCAAACTAGCTGGACCCTGAGGTGAGCAGCCTGACTCGTAATCACTATGCTACCAGAGCCTCCTTAGTGTCCAGATAGCTGTCTTCCAAGTATTTTGGCATAGATGAGTGACTGCCTCCAGTGTTTTATCAGTTTGTTGAAAGATTTCAATTTGTATTCCATCAATTCCTGGTGCCTTGTTCTTTGCCAATTCCTTCAGTGATCCCTGGACTACTTCCTTTAGGATCATTGGCTCTTGATCATATGCTATCTCTTGAAATGGTTGAACATCATCCATTTCTTTTTTATAGAGACCCTGTGTATTCCTTCCATCTTCTTTTGATGCTTTCTGCATCATTCAATATTTTGCCCATAGAATCCTTCAATATTGCAAGTTGAGGCTTGAATTTATTCCTCAGTTACCTCAGTTTGAGTAATGCTGAGCGCGTTTTTCCCTTTTGGTTTTCAACTCCAGATCTTTGCACATTTGACTCTGTCTTCTCAAGCTATCCTTTGAAAATTTCTATCCAGCTTTTATATCATTTCTTCCATTTGGTTTATTGTAGTCGTTACAAGTTGCACTGCTAACCTCAAGGTCAGCAGTTCAAAACTATCAGCCGTTCTGCGGGAGAAAGATGAGATTTTCTGCTCCCATAAAGATTACAGCCTTGGAAAGCCTATGCAGGGTTGCTGTGAGTCAGAACTGACTCCACGGCACACCACTACTGCCGCCACTACACTGGATAGCAAGTTTCAAGTTTCAACAAGTCTACCCATGCCATTTTCCCAACAGCATGTCTCTGTGTCACATTTTGGTAATTCTCACAATATTTTAAACTTTTTCATAATGCTATCACATACTAATAGACTACAGTATAATATAAACCTAACTTTTATATGCACTGGGAAATGACATAAAATGTGTGTCTGACTTGCTTTATTGAGATATTTGCTTATTTCAGTCATCTGGAATGTAAGCTGCAATATCTCTGCGGCTGCCTGAGTTATGAATTAGGCTTATCTACAACCTAGCTTCATTCTGGTTGACTATATCACTTCACTCTAGCTCAATTCGAAAGAAAGCCCTGGGAACTGTCAGAAGAGATCTCAGTGAAACAGGTAGCACTGTACGGTAATGAGCTTCCCATCAGTAGAGGCGGTTAAGCAGAAATTGAGAAAAACTGCCTGAAAGACATGGACCTGAGATTTGTCTATCAGGTCAAAGCTAGCTAGGATCATCTCTTGGGTCCTTGTCCTCGTCTAATCTTCTAATAATCAAGTGAAGGCACTCGCCTGAGCCCTCCTCTTGAAAGAGCAGTTCAATGTATGGCTGTCAGTTTAATCCTGAAACAAGCAATAAGAAAGCACACTAGAATAAAAATTAAATACCACCCACCCACTGGGCTCTGGTCTCAGGCACTAACAGTTACCAGATCTTGTGAGATCAGGTAGCCAAGCCAAACTGACCAAATCTAAATGGGATACAATTTTAGTGGGATGCAACTTCAGTGTTTGTGGGGAAAAAAACTTGAGAATGAGTCTCAATCTGAAAATCTGCAGAGGTGGAAAATGACTGGGTCAAGATTCCTGACCTGGTTTGAAAGAGGATTAAGACTACAGCTTTCCTGGGATCAGATATGCCAGGCTGCAGCTGCAAGGTCTCAGGCCAAGTATGAGCCTAAGGGGTTTAATTTTCTACCTTTGTACCTGCCTTGTACTAATTAGCTACTTGGTAGAGTATCCACCTTGGAATTTTCAGTCTTTCTAATCTGAGCCAAGAACTGCAGGGTTGAACGAATGACTACTTTATGTCTTGGTTTGAGGGGTTCGCAACATAGTCAACTGCTAATTAAATATTGTCCAAAGGAAAAAAAAATCTACCTCTCAAAGATCTCACTTGTCAGGCACTAGTATGGAAAAAGTAACTGAGGAAACACTGGGATTCAAATAATCTCCAGACCTCTTTTCAGCCATGACTGGCTAACTCGTCCCCAGTGCACCTCTGCCAGAAATACTGAGCAACAAAAAACAATGGACAGTCTAAGCGTCATCCCCCTGTTCTCTTTTCTCCTTTACTTTCTGGAGATCCCATCTAACAGTGAAATTAGCCAGGAGTAATAGGAGAGAAAGGTGACTGTTTAGTTCCCCGATAATTGGACAAGGCATTTTCTACATATTCTGCTGGGCAGCAGGTTTTATCATTTCACTTCATGTTGGGTTAAAGCTAACTAAAAAACAAGAGATAAGTGGGTGAATTCAATCTGCTCAAGTGTGAGCAGAATAGCTAGTGGTTACCAACACAGGTTCTGGAATCAGATCGACCTCCTTTCCAATCATGATTCTGGCTCTTATTGGCTGTGAAGCCTTAGGTAACTTCTCTGACCTCTTGGTGCCTCACACATTTCACTCATTTGTAAAATGGGGATAATAATAGTATCTACCTCAAGAGGAGTGAAGATTAAGTAACAATATAATGTTTAGTTTATACTAGCATAGAACTCAGGCACCTTCCAAGTGTTCGATATAAATTTAAATTTTTTTTTTTTTTTTAAGATAAACTTACCTAAAGATATTTTACTGGTCCTAGCCTAGATTTTGAGTTCTTAATTTTGTTCTTGAGTGTTTAATTGCCCAGACTGGGTAAAAGTACTACCATTAATTACCTGAATTCTGCTGGTGGGGGAGGCAAGTTGTCTTCAGAGAATGAAGGAGAAGGTGGAGATGTGGAGTCTGATTGTGGTGGTGGTGGCGGATAGCTGCCTGCATCCACATTTTCAACTGAGCCGATACTGCCATTGTGGTACACCAAGGTGGGTGGATACCTGACAACAAACCCAATGTCAAAACTGTCATTTAATGAGCCTGAGTGTGATCTTTTTTTATGGTTGTTGTTGTTGTTAAAAGATAATACCTTTTATAAAAGCTACTAGGAAAAAATAACACTATAGGTATGTTGTTGTTAAGTGCCATCGAGTCGGTTCCGACCCATAGCGACCCTGTATAGGGTTTCCGATGGTGTAAATCTTTACGGAAGTAGAAAGCCTCATCTTTCTCCCGCGGAGCAGCTGGTAGTTTCGAATCGCTGACCTTAAGGTTCGCAGCCCGATTTCGTAACCACTACGCTACCAGAGCTCCTTAACACTATAGGTATATTCCCCATATATTTTGTTATATTGAGATTTTATTTCAGGATTAAATATTGTATTGTTAAACAGATGTTTCGGCTACATGGTTGTTATAATGGGATTCAATCCAGATGATCAAAACCATTCTGTTCCTTTTCCAGTATTGGCCTTGTCAAACTCAGAAGTTTCTTTACATTCTATCCCAGACATAACGTTCAGCCTATACCTAAATCGCAAACTCTGTCATGTGGTAAAGGGCAAAGATAAGCCCCATAGGCTAGTGAGTTGCAAACACATAACTGGCACATGGCCTGGTTTTGAGGTTGACAAGCCTCTGGAGTGCTCAAAGGCCAGTGAGGCATTTGATTGCAAAACCAAGCTGAGGACAAATGCAGGTTGCCATGTAGTAGTTAGACCTGGTCTCTTTGCCAGGTCTCACATCAAACAATGAGCTGCTGATTAAAGTAGGGTGCTTGGGCTTGCCTCACAGAAACCTGTCCCTCAGAGCACTGGGCCTTGGGTGAATTTGCTCTGGTTGAATAGCAAACTTCCAAACAAGCACAAATACACCAAGCAAGAAACCTCCAAGCAAGCAAAAATATACCAAGTAACTACTAGCAAAATTTGGTCCACTCAGCTTCACCTCACCCTTTTTTCTACCAGTGTTGGGATACTAAAGACCTTGTCTACAACACACTCAAGAGAGACTAGAGTTGGAGGGAATTAACTGAATCAAATGATGCTCTGATGTGAAAAATCCTCAATGCTTGAAGTCCAGTAGACTTAGGACATTTCTTTATAAGTTCCCCAATAGGCATGTCCAGGTATAGCCCAACCCCAAGCCTCTTGGACAACAGGAAAATGGCAAGCAAAGTCCTCATCTTCTCCCACCCCATCCCACAAGAAAACAAAATACACAAGAGTTAGCATCCTGGACATGCAAGCTTTTGGTCAGTGAGTCTACAACAAGTGTCTGTCTGAATAAGACAGGACCAAGGATCAGAATGACCTCTTGTACTGGTAATAAAGGTACCCTCAGGGATGATTTCCCTATAGAGAAAAAGGTGAATTTTCTCCTCTCTCCATCTTCATCACTCTTTAAAACAAATCTCTTAATACAGAAAGAACAAGTGTCAGAGGTGTCAAGGTTTTTTAAAAGTTGAGGTTTTCATGGTACAGTTATACTTATAAAGCAAGAACAACTTTTTCCTTTTATCATTCCCAGACACCAGGCATGGGCTGGCATGATTCTCTGACAGTCAGAATGCCATGCATTTAATGGAAAAAACAGGGTGACGTTTATGCCAAGTAATTGTGGTGACTTTGCTTTGAATGTCACACAAGTCGGTACCAGGATAAGCATCAAACCTAAGCTTTAAGACCATTTTTTTCCCCTTTAAACCTTCAGTGTAATTTGGTATTGGGAAATGGGGTCAGACTGACATCTACTATTTCTCCACAGAGATATACAACCTTAATACTGACCAAGCGACCTTTCCCACACTCTTTCAGAGTCCCATTCAGTCCCTTGGCTAGCCTCTCTCCTGAGACTGACAAAGGGTGACTGAAAAGCTGCTTTGGTGATGTGCACAAATTCCCTGCCTGGTCCTCCCCACTCTCCTAAAGTGTCTGGCTCTTAAGCACAACCTTCAAATCAATGCTCTGGAGGCAAAGGGCTTTCCAAACTGCTTTTCTTCTCTTTCCAGTCTTTCTTCTAGGGTCCTCAGATATACCAGTGTCTAGCAGAATAAGGACATTAGAAGTCATGAGCTTTCCTTCCAAGACCTCTTCAATTACCTCACTTAAACTGCGGAGTCTCTATATTTACTTAACAAAGTCTAATCACCAGAAAGATGCACTGTAAAGTAGCTGATTAAAGCAGTAGTGATCTAAGCCACACAGCTAGATTGTGGGGTGTGTGAAAGGTGTCACAACAGAGCTGTCAGACTGCTATCCCCAAGCCCCTTCAAAGAATGCTAGCAACAAACATATCACTTGCCCAGAAGGTCCCAACTTTTCTTTGGACTCCACAAATTCTTGTCCCATCTTCATTTTCTCCCATTCTTCTTTACGTGTCTTGATTTTACGTGGGTTCACATTCCCTCGATTAGGATTGTCTTTCTTCTCTTTCTATGATAAAAATGAACAGAAAAGACTTTATAAAACATTTTCCAAAGTTCTTTATTAAAATTCCACCCATCTTCATAGACACAAACCCATTTTGCCAAGACCACATACATTATAAAATTTATGGATTTACTGGGTTTGGAGTGACCTAGAATGTTATCTAATCTAAGCATGGGAGAAACATATGCCCAATCTCATGCTTAAACACCTCTAGCAATGGGAAACCCACTACCTTTTTGGGTAACACATATTTTTGAATAGCTTTAATTATTAGGAATTTAATCAAACAGCTATTTGTTATTTGCTCTGTCACAAGTTAGCCAAGAAAGATGAGAAGTAACAGCAGCTACAGATATCCAGGGAAGATACAGGGTTTAAAAAATTGAAAAAAAGACCGCCTAAGACAGGCAGCGTCCCTTAAACAAATAATAAATAAGGGGGAATCTGATGCAGACCGTGCAGACCCGGTCAGGCGTTCAAGTCCCCGTGGGCCCAAGCGTTGCTGACCGTCCAAACCATAGGCTCTGAGGATCAGACTTTAGCCACCTAGCAGACATAGCAAAATGTCCTTTTCTGATTATTCAGTTATGCTGGTTAGTAATTCCATACATGAGCCCTGGATACCCACAGATAAATGTAAAAACCTTCCCTAAAAGCCGAGACTGTAAATTCCAAAAAGGCAAAGTTTTCCCCCCCCAAAAAAGCTAAAGAGGATATAGAGAAACTCTGTTAACTGATGGTATGTGGAGGGGATTATAATCAATGTAATAAAACAAGGTATATGAATGTTTGAATGTGAAACCGATGATGTGCCCTGAAAACTTTCACTCAATCCACAATAAAAACCTTAAAAAAACAAAACAAAAAAAAAAAAAAACACCAAACAAACAAACAATGAATTCTTCAGCCTGTGCAGCTTTATCAGCCCCTGGTGCTCTCTTGGGTCTCCCGGCAACATTGTTAATGGGATTACGAAGTTGCAATGGTAGGTCACTTACATACACATACCACTAGAAGTCTAGGGGGAGAGGAACATCTCCAGAAATTAGGCATACCCCTCTGTCCTGCCCAACCTGGAGCGAAGGTGTTAAACTGTTCATTGCAAATCAAACACTGCAGAGCCTTGTGCTGATCTCTGAGAAATGAACTGCAAAACTGGCGGAGAAGGGACTAGTCTAGCTTGAGTGTCCAGCAGAGTCAGGTGCAAATTGCAAGAGAAATAAATGGTGACTAGAAAAGTCAATTTCTAAAACTCAGCCTGAATATACTCAATTGTTAATAGTGCTGGGGGGAACAAACACATTTTTGGTGTGATTTATACTTTCATCTTGGTTGTGCTTGGTGTCGACACAATTTTTTTAGAGTTTCACCTGGCATCCAAGAAAGCAGCCATTCGGAATGATTACTTCACATAAGACTGGCTTCCTTTCTATTCCCCCTCCACAATCGTGCTTACTGATGTGTAGAACAGACGCCCCTTTCCCCTCACCCTATGCTTTCTCTTCTCTTTCATGATATCCTTGGTGTCCTGCAGCATCTTCTCCTTCCAAAGATCAAAGAAGTACGAAGGGTCTGTGTAGAATTTGAGTGCTTCTTTCCCATCATCCCTGGGATAGAAATGAAGACAAGTAGCTGTCAGTAGACAGATGAGCTCCCAACCAAATCCAATATTCCAAACACCTATCAGTTAGCAATTTTTACATAGAGGAATTAAGAAGTCATTCAAATCGATTCTACATTTCCTCTCCCATACCAGAGTTTAGTGGCACCTCTTCACTTACCAGGCTTTCTAAAAATCTTACCTTTTACTTTCATTTCCTGGTAGAGGAATTTACACGGTCAGGGCAAGAACGTGCTTTTGCAGCAGGGATCCTGATTATTTCTAATGACCTGCATGGCCACAAACATCTCCCTGAGGACACCCTGATATCCTGGCACATCAGAGAGTTTCTGCCACCGGTTCCCCTTTCCCCTACCAAGTCTCCAGAACATTCTAAGCAACACCAGTAGCATCCCACCCACCTGAAACCTGTGCACATATATTCAGGTTCATACCTATGCATGCATGTACACATGCAGATACATTAATGTGTACAGCTGTTATTCCTCTGTCAAATACAGATAACCACAGCATTCTACCTTCTTGGGCCTTTCTAGAATAGTTCAGCATCTACCCACCCCCACCTCCAACCACAAGAGGGCCCCCTTGAGAACAGATGGCCTGTTGTCTTATGACCACAGGATATAACCATCCATATCTCTAGTGGTTGTGACAGTAGTACAGAGTCAGCTACTGAGTATCAACATCAGGGTTATCTGTGCGAAACTCTATAGGCCAAATTGGAATTCTGCACTTTGGCATAACTAAGTCACTCTCACTTTCCAGAAACCATGGGCTAAGGGGGGGCATTTAACATATTTTGAAATAAAAAAGAATCAAACAGCAGCTTAAAGGATTAGATGGAAAACTTAAGGAGTAGTGAGTTTGTATTAATGGGGAAGGAATCACACAGAAAAGGAGGGTGAGAATACCTGTACAGTATGAAGAATGACACATGTCACTGATTTGTATGCATAGAAACTGTTGAGTTGGTATAAGTTGTGTTATGTATATTCTCAAAAACAACAAAATAAAAACAGTAACAAATAAAAGAGTCAGAAAGGCAATTCTCTTCCCTGGTCTCCAAAACTACCACAACATACAGAAAACATTTTCAAATCAAACATGAATGATAATTTACATTAAATCTTGTTCTGAGTTAATTATATCACTGTTTCTGTTAGGCCAGGTCCAGATAATTGAGTGGAGACACTAATTCTGATATTGTATGTTAAAAAGCAAAATACTTTTACCTGGAAAATAAATACTTTTATTCCCTACCACAAAAATCCTGTATCACACTCTTTCTGGTATTATCAGATGTGCAGTCTCTTCTCTCCTGCCAGCTGCCCAGTCCAAACCCAACTAGACTAAATAATGGAGGCTGGAGAGTCAAATCTCTGTTCTGCTAGCTATCCCCTTTGAAAGGCAACAGATACACAGAACTACATACAGCAATATAGAATAGATGCAATGTACTTCCTTATGTCTGTATAAGAGGCGATCATGTTCCTATTCCAGGCTCTCTAAATCAGGCAGATGTCCTTGAGTTTCACAGGTATACACAGATACACACACACTCACTCTCTCTCTCTCTCTCTCTCTACTTTGCAGTACCCATGTCTCACAGAAGACATCTGCCTCCAGCTATCTGTAATTACTTTTTACCTGTTCCAAAGATATTTATGGATGCAAGCAAGATAAATATTCACTTTCTGCCTCTGCTCAGTGGTTTTTTACAGAATGACAACACTACGAACCATTAGAAGGGAAGGCATTAAGGTGTCTATAAGGCTACCAGCAGTGTAGGACCTTTCAGAAAGGAATGTTGAAGGTGTATAAAACAAAGTAAATGGTACGCATTTGAAAGAATGCCAATTACTCTGTAAGCTTTGGAAGGACCCCTCAGGACCCAGAGCAGCCAGTCCATGAGACTGGCCCCACTAACACGCTCAAACATCTGGTAATCTAGTGGTTTCCAAGTAAGTGGGAGCATTGCTAGAATGTTGCCCCTGGGATCCATATTATAGGGCCGCCTTGTCCTTTTGGTTCTATAATAACTAAATTCCTTGGATGGAGTCCAAGATGGACCTGGCTTGTAACAAATTAAAACTATGCAGCATGCAATGCTATATGTGAATTTCAGAAACCAAGTAAATGACAACCATTTGTATGGTAAACTTTGGCTTCTACTACCACAAGCAGCTTGGAGAAGTTAGTGAGCTGTTTAAATCCTAGGATGTAAACAACTTTAGGTAAAAAGACAATCCAGGGTTTTTAACCTTTGGGGGAGGAGGGGAGGAAGGGAAGAGATAGCCAACTTGTTACCTGTAAGGGGAAAGATTGTTGAGAGGTGGAGGAGTATCACAGGTGTTGTATGTTTCCAAAACAGGCACTGGGAGAGTGTTTCTGTCAAAAAGCTTCTGATCTTGAATGGTAGAGCTTCTGAAGGCCTTTCGGGTGTTGATTCCTTGTAGTGACACTGAGAGAAGATGGAAGGCGTTAGAAAATGGACGACAGGCTATTCGAGCAAACACTGAGTCACACCAGTCAGAGAGGCCTCAGCTGCTGCATTTCTTGGCTTCAGTCAGGTTTTTTTTTTTTTTCCTCCCCCTCTGGGGAAGCCCAAAGCTGTCAGCAGCCCAGCCATTTCAAGACTGAACAAAATGAGGCAACACAAAGGTTTACTATGTGGCCAGATCTAGCAGGCCTCTCCTTAGGAGCTTGAATCTTCCAAGTACTTTTATGGTAGCAAAAAAATGATTGGGGGAGGGGAAGTTTGAGGACAGGGAATTGGGGGAATGGGAAAGAGAGTGTGTGGGGTGTGGTAGAGCTGAGAAGGGTTCTTCACACCACCCAGGCTTACGTCACTTCAAAGTAGAACTCCAGGGTCTCTGTGGTTTCTCCCCTCATTTTTTTTATAAATCAGGAAAAAAATGGTAAGAAACTGTTCAGCAGAGCCTGCAAATGCTGAGCTCAGCTTCCTTACCTTCTTCTTCCTTGGGATCCAGCTGAGTGACTTTAACTTGTAGGCGGTCGATCCTCTCAGCAAGGGAGCTTACCCGAGAGGCAAAGGTGTTTGCCTGAGTAAAGAGCTCTCCAAAAATGTCTTCTGCATATTTACCTGGAAAGAGCAAAGAAAACCAAGTTGCTAGTGCATGAAAGTGACATATATGGGAAAAACAAACAATACAAAGCTTGTACCTGTCACACACACACACACACACACAGACACCCCAAAATGATTTGGGCTATAGGCAGTTATCTCTTAGAGATATACCTTCCATAGCTTGGACAATCTGAATATGCTTTATAACTAATGGGCCTTCTTGGCAAACTCTAAATAGTAATGAAACTCAAAGTAGGCTAAATACAATCTTAAAGGTGTAATGTAAAATATTAGTCCTGGAAGAGTGGACAATATGGCTATACATTTGCCCAGCCCGTAGTTCCCTGCTGTTCTGTAAAAGGCACCTTGTAAATTGGTTCTGGAAAACAGATTGGGCATTAAAAAAAACCTTTTAGATGCTTACAATCAGCATGCAAAATAAGAAATTATTTCCTTAAGGAAATCTCAAAAGTACATTTGAACAATGATGAGTTGTATCTTTGGGGGGGGGGGGGTCTTGAACTTATTATCAACCCACGAAAGAGGCTTATATCGTCTTCTAAGGGGTGAAAAGGTTATTTTAAGGTTTATAACAAACTACTTTCAAAGTCTTTGCTCTAGGTTGTTGTTAAGCACCGTTGAGTGAGTTCCGACCCATAGCGATCCTGTAGAGGATTTCCAAGGAGCAACTGGTGAACTTGAACCAACAACCTTGCAATTCAAACTGACTTTGCAGTCTAGTGCATTAACCCACAGCACCAAACCAGGACTCTTTGCTCGAGGTTACAATCCTTCAAATCTGCATCTCAGGGAACAAGTAAAATGCTGAAACTTTAAAGCCCTCCTGGAAAACCAACATGCCCCTGGTCTCTTTCCACAATGTCTTTTTTAAAAAAAAAAAGACTTCCCTACTTTCAACTAACTCTGGAATGCTAGGAGACTTTGCTGCCAAAGACACATAACAGCAAATTTGACACTACCTCCACATTGTCATTCCAAGCCACAAAGCACATTCTTACTAGGAATGAAAAATGGTGCATATGAATAAATGTACCATCTGAGTTTCTTACTTGCAAGGTGAAGAAGGCATAAGTGGCCATGCTCAACCACAAGATAATTTCTTACAAGAACTATTTAAAGTCGGCTCTACTTCTTAGCTTCTAAATTACATTTATGTTTAGTCCATATTTGTGGAGGAAAAAAAATTAGTCTGAGAAGTCAACATTGCCCCTTTGGGTTGAACTGCGGCTCACCTTCCAAGTAAAACCTGTAGAGTAAGGATAAGACCAATCAAATGCAAATTTTGAATTGCTGATAAATTTAGACAACAAGGAGTTTCTAATCAAGAAAGGAGCAAGTCCATGCATACTGAATGGTTTTATGATCTAAAAAACTATGGGGAGCTCCTAGGCTAAAAGAAATAAAATCGGCTAGGAGCTACATTTCTAGTCTTATAGTTGAGGATCCTGTCTGTTCCCCGTCCACAAAAATCACTGAGTTCCCATGAAAACCATATTACATGAAGCTCAGTCAGGTAATGGAAATCGAGATTAGAAGGCTAATGCAAAGTACTTGCAACATGTGTGGGAAGTAAACCAGTCTCAAAAATATCTGTTAACTGTCCAGTTGTTCTGGAGGAAAAGAATACCCCCAATCAACTTACTCTTAGGTCACCAAGAGAGTACAAGGACTTCCTGCTCCTTAATGAAGGGGCAGTGATAATGGGAGTAGTAGCTTACTGTGGCACAGTGCTTTTCTAAGATAAAATCTCAAAAAGAACTCTAACATATAAAATTGGTAGCACTGAGAACTCTGTTTTAAGATGGTATAAGGGATTAAAACCCTATACAGGGTCATTATGAGTGACACCTGACTCTATAGCACTTAACAACAACAAAGGGACATTGATACAGTATTGTACTTACACTTAGAACTACACTGTGATATACAAATGATACAGTGAACTTCAAATCAGAAAACCTGAAATGATTACATCTCAGCTCTTTCTGTTTATACCTATGCTGGATTGCAAGATCATTTTGATCCACAAGGATGGCGATTCAAGCTCATCAGTCGCTCCTAGGAAACCCTATTACAGGGTTGCTATGAGTTAGAACCGACTGGACAGCACTTAACAACAACTCCTCTTTGGCATGTTACAACCTTTCAGCCTCAATTTTCTCATCTGTAAAATGGGGATAGTATGTCACAGGATTAAAAGAGCTAAAAATATAAGCTGTTACAAGGAGACTCTTCTTTATACCAGATGGCTGAGGAAGTGTAGAATAGCTAAATATTCAAAATATTAAGCCTAAAGGAAATTTATAACATCATTACAGTTAGTAATTTGATAATCCCTATTCTTCAAGTGTAGTACTGGTGTGGCAGTGCAGGATAAGCGCTGGACTGCTAACCACTAGGTTAGCAGTTCAAACCCAACAAACACTCCATGGAAACCCTCTACAGAGTCACTATGAGTCACAACTTACTCAACAGCACTTAACAACAACAACTATTCTTCAAGTAGAGGATCCTGGTATGGTGCTGTAAGGTAAGCACTAACTGCTGAGAGGTCAGCATTTCAAACCCACCATCTCCTCCTTGGAAATTCTATAGAGTGTCGCTATGAGTAGAAATTGACTTGACAGCACTTAACAACTACAACAACATTCTTCAAGTGTTAAAAATTACTCCGAATTCTAAATAAGGAAGTTGATACTTAAATAGGAGAAAACCAAAGTACCTTCTACAGAATAAAATTTCATTCATTCAGAATGCATGGATAGACCCAATATCCACCAGCAACACTCATAACAGATAACACAATTTGCAAATGATTCTAAAAGCAATCTTGACTTCTTTCCTTCAGTAAAAGTCTTCAAATGAAAACTTATGTGGAAGTGGAATAAGGAAAACTGATTTTCAAATAATGTGAAGCTGTTCTTAATAAAATCTGAGTGGAACTCTCACCACCCATGGCATGCCCTGTCCCTCTACTGTACTCAGAAAACCCAACATCATAGCATGATTTCCTAATGGCCCACATGGAGCTTCCATTCTTCTATGTGACCAGGATACTGTCCAAAAGTGCTGGCTAGTTGGCTACACTTATATTTCCTAAAATATCACAACTTAGTGTGTGAAATGCCAGTCTCTGTTCACTGAGGACAAGTAAGAACTCTGCATATGTTATCGTGGAACCATCCATGGCTATGACATTTTCAGTTTTTTGCTGTTCCATTCCATAATCCGACCTTCCTGACTACTAGACCAAGCAGTTTTTGGCTACAGTACAATGCATAGGAGGCTAAGGTTGTGGGTTTGAAGCACATGTGAGCCTATCCCTGCACTCCTTTCTGCTACATGAAATTTTAGTCATCTTTCAAGACCTAGCTCAAATGTAACCTCTTCTGTGATGTCTTCTTTGATCTTCCCTATCCCTACCCGCACCTCACTTCCTATAGGAGGTATTCCATTTTCCCTTGTATTCTCTGGCACCAAAAGCATTAAATGGTAAAACAGGTATAAATTAGTAAACATTTGGTGGTGGTGGTGGTAGTGTGCCGTGGAGTTGGTAGTTTCGAATTGCTAATCTTGAGGTTAGCAGCCCAGCTTGTAACCACTATGCTACCAGAGCTCCTTTTTACTGCCTTCTATTGGTTTTACTAGGCACTATATGAGTCGGAATCAATTAGATGATACACAACAAAACAACTATATAAGATAAAAAACTGAATTTCAAGGATAAATAACACATGATTTCTAATGTCACAGAACTTTTAATTTAAGTATAAGAAACAAAGATAATTCTAATATAATGTGCTAAGTTATAATATAGGGGTGCAATGGAAGCTCAGAAGAACACTTAGCCCTATCTGAAGGCCCTATCCTAAGTGGGCCTTGAAGGATCAGCTACAGTAGGTGGCTAGGCAAACAAGTATGGCAAGGGCTCTCCAAGCAGGGAACAAACAGCACAAGTATTTTGTGGAGGTAGAAGAAAGTATGACCTGTCTCAAAACTACCAAAAATTGACAATTCATTCTTCTTTTTCCTTTCTTCATTTAAAAGAACCTTAAAAAATATTATAAGATAATAAAAAAGGGATTGTAGAACCTAAGACTAGAAAGGAAGGCAGGTCTTAGGAGTCTTGAATGCCAGGGCAAGGAACTTAATTATTCCACAATAAAAATTCAAACTCACTGACATCGAGTCGATTCTGACCAATAGCAACCCTAACTAGAGTTTTCGTGACTGTAAAATCTTTTTGGGAGAAAATAGCCTCATCTTTCTCCCATGGAACTACTGGGGGGATCAACCATTGACTTTGTAGATAGTAATCCAGTGCTTAAACTACAGCACCACCAGGGCTTACTTACAATGAGGAACAGGGGAAATGGTTAAAATTTGTACTTGTACTTAAAAAAACAAACACTTCAGGAGTTGTAAAAGTTAATGCAGATTTAACTTTAAAAAATTCAAACAGTTTAGAATTATAAAAGCAAAAAGTGTGATTTGCATTTTAGGCAGATTACTCTCACATGGGCTAAAAGATAGCTAGATCTAAGGATAAGGAAGCAGTATAAGTGGGAACCAACAAAGGTCTGAACCAGGGAAGTGTTAGCATTGTCAGAAAGTAGGGGAGCAGAGCTGAAAAATTCTTGGGAAGTCTGAGTTTAAATACTGACTTTGCCTCTTACTGCATGAATCTTTCTAGACAAGTTACCTGACTTTTCTAAGTCTCTATTTCTTTATTTGTAAAATGGGGATACCATCACTTACCCTCATATAGTTACTGAATGGATTTTAAGTAGATAAAAGATGTCAAGATCATATTAAACCCTGGCATAAAGTAGGCAATCAACAAATATAAGAAGTTCCCTTGCCATCCTCCTCTACCCTTCTTGTTGTTAAGTACTGTCAAGTCAGTTCCAACACCTAGAGACCCTGTATAAGGTTTCTGAGGAACAGCTGATGGGTTTGAACCGCCAAACCACTGACCATGTGGTTCGCAGTCCAGTGCTAATCCTATAGCACCACACCAGGAGTCCCTACCTGCTCTTTCCAACTGTTTATTTCTATCTTCCCTGGTAGATTATGAGATACTAAAAGAGCATTTCTTATTATTGCTGTATCTCTTCAGCCTATGGCACATAAGATGTGTTCACTATACATTTAATGGATGAATAAAGGATCAGTTAGCCCCAGAATGTGAGGACATATTGTTTCCTTAGGCACAAGCTGACTGTGGTCCACAAATGGACTTTTCTAAGATAGGAGGGGTCTGATCACAAGTGGGAGAGTGGTATCCATCCACACTACTCTGGAAGAACACCTGAGAGACAGCATAACTCCTGCTGAGTGAGAATAAGAAGCATCATTAGCTAGATGTCCTTTGTCCTTTGGAGAAGGAACCACTGTGTGATTGACTTCCACCCATTTGGCCTTCTCAGGGTGACAGAAGCAGAAATGATGCTTTTAAGCAGCAGTGAGGCTCTCTGCAGCCTTCATGTGCTTCCTTGTCAGCCGCACTGCTGTTGCACTGCTGTCAATGTTCCTTTGTGTAAGACAGGCACTGGCTGGGTTTCATTTCTTTGTGACGCCCCATCCGGGCTTCTCTAAGCCCTGGATCAACTGAGCTGGCCGCTGAGCTAGGTGAAAGCTTAGGAATCTCATAGCCCATACATCATCTGGTCACAGAGCTCTGTCTCCTCAGGCTCCTATTTTAAAGGCAGTTCCTATTACTATCTGGGGGAATACAGGCTTTCTTGATATTCCACAGCCTTCACTAAGGGCAGTGAGGCTATAGAAAGGGTATCTGAAATGATGCACACCAAGATGCTTTCACTAAAAAAGATCACTAAAACGGCATTTTGACATAGGTTCTTCTGGGAGATAAGAGTAGCATTAGACAAATGCAGAGCCTACCCAAGCATCTGCCCTTCCCATACCTTGGCTTCAAGCAAACAAAGTCAGCTTGATTCAGAATGAAATCCAAACCACATGTATGTACCCCACCCAAGGCAGTCTCATTCATTCTTGCCAATTAAAAACAAAAAACAAAAACACAGGATTACAGTTGAGTTGGCTTTCTCTCAGCTATAAAACAGACTGGGCTAGCCCCCACCTTCCTCTTAGAAAAGAATGACTCCAGTTACAATTTGTGTCACTGTGTGCTCACACAGCTTGCAAAACTCCCAATACCCCAGGGACTGCAGAAGTAATTTGTACCCTGAACTTGGACCTGGGGGCTTGTAGCACAATTAAATGTGTACCATGGTGGACAAGTCAGCCAGGATCTCTCTGAGTGCATGTTTGCTTTACTCCTCTTTGGGAAGAAAAGGGAGGGAGGTGTTGGGTAAAGACTTTTGGCACATTTGAGGCTTCCACAAAGTCAGGCCACATTGAACAGCTTATACAATTACAGGCACATTCCCCGACCCAAGATACTGCTCTGTGAACCTCCCACTTTACACAGAGAATTCTGCTCTGTCATTCCATCTGCAGTTTCTGCTGCAGCCTTTCCTGCCACCCTTCCCACAGATTTCTTTTGAAGCAGGTGGAGGGGGAGAGGGAGGGAACCTAGAAGACTAAATAGAGGGTGGTGGGAGATGAAGAAAAAATTGAGGGGAGAGTCTACACCAAACAGGAGCCTCTCTTTGGGAAGGGAGATTGGACACATTTCACATTACCTAGGGAAGGCAGATGGGGGAGAGAGAGAAACACAGGAGGAGAAGGCAACTAAATAAAGAGCACCAACGACCCCTGAGGGCAAAGCACAGGTTCTCTGAGGCACTCACTCAGGCTGGCCAGCTGTCGGATGACATTTGCCAGGGTGATGTTGGTCATGCATTCCAGCTCGCTTCTAACGCTAGGCAATGTCTGACGGCACAGGTGCCTTGGCTCGATGTTCCTCGTTATTAACGGCATGGTGGACCTGCTTCAGGCAATGTTCTGAATGATGAAAAACAACCTAAAAAAGAAATAACAGGAAAGTATTACTCAACCACAAATTCCAGGCACACTAGGGCTGTGTGAGGCCCCCTCCCCCTTTTTTTGTCTTGCTCTGATCTAAAACAGCTTTAAAAAATCTTTTCTCCTCTTCTCCCAGACCCATCTTTTCTTTTAAGCGTTTTCTCTTAAAGCTTTGTTATTAGAAGGGTTGCTGGATAAGTTTAGAAATTCAGAGCTGGTGATTGCTGGTTGAGGTACACAGGCATTGTAAAAACCTTAAAATGCAACTACTGCGCCAATCAACAAGAGTTTCCAGAGGCAAGAAGGCATGGTCAAAGAACAGTACCATCAGCAAGCACTGGATGGTGTAGATCCTGTCCCTGGAGTGTCTATGACCAGGACAGAACAAATTCGAGGCCACCAATTGTAAGGATCAGAAAGAAGCTGCTGTCATCTGATAATCTCCACAATGAAATCAAGCTGCCAATAGTGATTCTAGTGATATACATCAGGACATACCCTCCACAATTCTTCCTTGAAGGATGACTGTTAAAGTACAACTAAATACCAGCTGCCAGTATCTATTATCACCACTAAAGTTTAGTCTGTAAATTGACAGAATGAAAGAATATTACGGAAAATTTTAACATGTTCAATATGTCAAAACGTGATGCTCAGCAAACTATGCTGTAAGATTCCCTGGTCCTTTCTCTTCAACCCAACAGCTCCTTTTCTCCCTCCCATCCGGTTCAATACACCTGGGCCAAAAGGCTCTTAAGACAGCAGGAAGTGTCTGGAACAGATCCGGAAACCTTCCAGTTACTGTTTCTTATCCTGTCGGCTGAGCCCCTTTCCCTAGGAAATCCCCCAGCACTTCAGGTTCATGCTGAGCTATTGTTTTAGATTTAGGTTACCAAATTCCTAGCTTTACAAGAATAGGAGAAGGTTTTAGTTGCAACAAAATGAATATAATCACAGCCAAGGCATATTATACTGGTCCTAGTTTCCAGCTTCTGTATCTTGTGAAACTAATGAAATATATAATGGCCTGATGTTTTCAGGGGTGGGTAGGGGAGGGATGTAAAATTAGTTTCCAATGAAAAGTAAAAGCATAAAAGTAATATACCTAGATCCCTAATACTGAAAGCTCCTCCCCCCAAAAGAAAAACAGGTTTACTTACAGCAAATCTTAAAACACCAGCTCATCACCAAAAAAGTTAATTGTGAATACAAAATATTTAAACTAAACTAACCATCACATATCTTAAAAACTAATCTAGTATTGTCTGACCAAAAGGGAAGGGGGAAAAAAAACCCTTCGGGCTCAAAAGGGGAGCAAAACCCTTTGGAACAGACTGCTCCTTGTTATGGACATTCTGATCTGCTAAGAGTAAAAATAAAACAGGAAGCCAGCAACTTGGGGAACAAGATTTCCTGTCACCAACAGCAACAGCCTAAGAACCAAGAGAATCAGCTGTTTGCTCATAACTTTGAACCTCCCTTTAATAGTCACTGTGTGGCAGCTGTGCCTATCTTTGGGGTGCAGAGGTGTTTCCTGAATATTTGTCTACTGTCTAAGGAAATAATTTCCATTCCACTCCTCTGCTAAATTCTCCTTTGACTCAATAGATTTTCTAATCCAAATTCTGGACTTTCCCTTCTAGTTTAACTCTTCCTCTCCTTTACTCGATATAAAGACTATCAGGCACTAAGGTGTAATCTTTAGTAATACATGGCAAAAAAAGGAATTTGGAACAGGAAAGGAGGCTAAAAATAATTGAACCATACAGGGCTCCTCTGGATGCATCAAGATTTCCAAATATGAATGAAGTCTTCTGTAAGAACCAGAAATTCAGGAGTGGAGTCAGCTTTGACCAGAGAGACTCCATTAGCAAGTATTGGAGCAGTTCCCCAGAGGAACTAAAAGAACCTTGAAATTCTGGTTTGAACCTGGCCACTGACAGAGCATTCCGGACATTTTTTTCTGGACATCTAATGGAAAATGGATACAAGATGATTAAGTATGTCAGATTTGTATTGGAGGGCAATTTCTAACATCTTGGTACTTTATCATTCATGCTTTCCCACATGCCTCAGGTAAGGAGACAAAAATGGAGTTAACTCTATAAATATCTTGATGTCACCTGGAAAAGTTTTCATGACCAAAATGGCTTCCTCTTGCCAAAAATTCCAGCTCCTAAAAAATGACAATGTCAACATCCATCAATTTCTAAAACAATTAAGAAAGAAAATCTGCTATAAAAGAAAAAAGTTATCTAATTTGTTTTAAAATTTTATCAAAGAGACACAATTCCCTGTTATGTGGAAATACCTCCATCACTACTTATGTTTCTTTTCAGGTAATCAAGGGTTGGTTGTACTCCACATGCTGTTGTTAAGTGCCATCGAGTTAATTCTGACCCATAGTAACCTTGTACAGGGTTCCCGAAGAGCAGCTGGTGAGCTTGAACCGTCGACCTTGTGGTTCAAACTGACTTTGCAGTCCAGTGCATTAACCCACAGTGCCACACCAGGATGCTGTGGGTTCATGTATAGGATTTATAAGGTTGTAAATCTTTGCAGGAGCAGAAAGCTTCATCCTTCTCCTGTAGAGGTCTAGTGGGTTCAAACCAATGACCTTGTGGTTTACAGTCTAGCCCTTCTCTTACAAAGTCTCCACATAGTCTTAATTATGCATGATCTAAACCATAATAGTAATGTTGTTGCTAAGTGCTGTGGTGGGTTTGAATCATGGGCCTTGGGGTTTGCAGTCCAGTGCTGATCTTAGAGCGCCACACCAGGAGTCCATATGACCAAAGAAAAATAAAACCTGTATTTTCTGGTGTTCTAGAAGTTGAATCCTGGTGTAGTACTGTAGGATAAGCACTGGACTGTTAACCACAAGGTTGGTGGTTCAAACCCACCAGGTGTCCTAGGAAATCCTATACAGGGTTGCTATGAGTCGGCACCAACTCAACGCCAAGTAACAAGAGAGTTGAAGATAAACTTGTTAAGTGCCACTGAGTTGGTTCTCATAGCAACCCTTTATAGGGTTTCTAGGCTCACGGTTAACAGTCCAGGGCTTATTCTACAGCACCACACCAGGACTCAGAAGATAAACTGAGTGCTGGGCACACTTCAAGACTCTGGAATCTTTCAGTTCAGCTTTTCAGTAGACAACATATGGGGCTTTCTTGACAGACTCGAGTTAGTGCCCTGACACTGACACCTTACTAACTCTATTGTAATGCTGGGCAATTTTCCTGGAGACGTTAAATAATATAACATGTATAAAAATGCCATGACAGGGCTCAAAAAATAAAGAAGGGAAGTTATTTTTCTACACACTCTAGGAAAATCTTCCTATAGATCCCTTTTAATCACTGATAAATATTTAAAACACTTTAAACCACAGACATTTTAGAAGAATGCAATGCTGATATAAAAAATTTAAAGAAACCCTAGACTTCAATGAAACTGGGTGGTTTCTGGAGGTTACTACCAGCTATTTTACTGGATCTCCTGAAGAGTATATACTATCTCTCTCTCGCTCCTCCATCCTTTTACAACTGATTGCTCATCTAATTTGCTCATCTGAACAAATTATTAGAGTGACTATTTTCTCAATTCCCTTCAAGACTGTACATAAGTAGCACCATTCTAGATGCAGGTGAAAAGTTAATCCATTACATACAATAGATGCCTACGGGTATTAGGGTTTAATTCTCTCAAAGAACTGCAGTTGAGAAAGACTCCTCTATAATCAGTAGCACTTTAGTGGAAAATCTGTGGAGCACTGGGTTCTGGGGAACCAAAAAATAACACAAAGAAAATGACAAGGGCCAATTTGCATTCTACAGAGATCATTCTAATAGAAGCAGAAGGTTGGTGGTAAGAAGACCAATTGGAAAGCTCTTCACAGGCTGAGACAGTAGCAATGGAGAGGGGCCCGCCATAGCTAGCAAATGTGAACTAAGAAACCAGAGACTGAGGTTGCATGCAAGTCCAGTGTTTTAGCCCCACCTGTTGCTCTCTCCTTATAGCTTTGTAGAGTTAGGCTCACAGAATGATAAAATGTATGCTTATTTCTAAACATTGGCATATTTTGTTGGTGTTTTTAAAATGTTTTTCAGCTGATGCTCAAAAAGAGCCATGAATACTTAAAACTGTGCCACTAATGAAAGGAAATCCAATCTAAGAAAGTGCATTTCTGTACCAGAGCTGTGTCACACCATCTTTTGGACCCTCTGCTGGAAACAAGAATCAAGTCTCAAATAATGCCTTTTTAACTGTTTGTTGTTAGGTGCCACTGAGTCGGTACCGACCCATAGCGATCTTATGTACAACAGAATAAGACACTGTCCGATCTTGGGCCAACCTCACTACTGTTGCCACGCTTGAGTCAACTGATGCTGCCACTTGACCAATCCATCTCGATGGGGGTCTTACTCTTTTTCTCTGACCCTCCACCTTATCAAACATGATATCCTTCTACAGCGACTGGTCCCTCCTGACAATATGTCCGAAGTATGATAGATGAAGTTTGGCCATCCTGGCCTCCAAGGAGCACTATGAGTGCTGCACTTCTTCCAACACATATCTATTGGTTCTTTTGGCAGCCTGTGGCACTTTCAATATTCTCCTCCAACACCATAACTCAAAAGCATCAATTCTTCTATGGTCTTCCTTACTCACTGTCCAGTTTCACATGCATATGAGGTTATTGAAAATACCATGGCTTGGGTCAGGCACACCTTAGTCCTCAAGCTGACATCCCTGCTCTTCAACACTTTAAAAAGGTCTTGTAAAGCACATTTGCCTAGTGCAATACGTCATTTAATTTCTTGACTGCTACTTACCTGAGTTGATCCATGAAGAATGAAGTCCTTGACAACTTCAATCTTTTCTCCATTGATAAAAATGTTGTTTATTGGTCCAGTGGT